ACCAGATGAAAGTGGGAAATAAAGGGAGAAGTAAAAGATAATGCCAAAGTTTTTTTGACCAGAGCAGCTGAGAGAATGGAGTTGAATAATTCTTATAAATGATTGCATTAAATCTGTGCATCTTGTCACATGCCCACTTAACTACAGGTAATTTTACCATATAAGCTTGTGGGGGGGAAAAGAAGAAAAACAAAAAAGATAGGAAGGAAAAGCATGTTTTAAAATATAATAAATTAGGCCTTAATGAAAAATTGTCCTTGAGAAACCTGAGATGGAATACTCTAAAGCTGATGTGTTCTCTCAATCTTTAGAACTGAACTAGGAATTAACTCTTGAGAGTTCATGATAGGTTATGAAACCCTTTGCCTGTTGTGGAAATTAGGTTGTTTTCAATATTTGCTTTTGCAAATGATGATACCTGTTATTTTTTCTGTAAGGTAGATTTCTACAAATAAGATATTTTAGACCGTGTCAATCTAAAAATTTGATAGATTCTGCCAATTACCTTTTAAAAAATAATTTTAGCAAGTTTCATTCCTTAAAATATATTAGGGACTGCTCATTTACCTTGTTTTGATTTATGTATATATAAAATCTGTTTAAATCTTTATGAATAGCCTGGGCAATTTTCTGGTGTTTTGGTCCATTTCTATTGTGTTGTTTGTTTTTTAAATTTGTAAGCATTCTTTATTTATCATTTAATTCTTTGTTATATTTTGCAAATATTATCCTATTACTTATCTTTAATTTTATAGTATCTAGTCGTGAAATTTTAAAGTTTTTATGTAGGTAGATCTGTCTATCTTCTATAGCTTCTGGGTTTCAGCATGATATATACAAAGATGATATAAATATGATCTCATATATATATTACAAAAACTTTTTAGAGATAGGATGTCACTCTGTCACCCAGGCTGGAGCAACCATAGCTCCCTGCAATCTCAAACTCCTGGGCTCAAGTGATCCTCCTGCCTCAGCTTCCCCAGTAGGTAAGATTACAGGCATATGCCACTACAGCTAGTCGGGTTTTTTTTATTTGTTAGTTTTTTTTTTGTAGAAAACGTATCTCACTGTGTTGCCCAGACTGGTCTTGAACTGCTGGCCTCAAGCTGTCCTCCCACATCAACCTCCCAAAGTGCTGGGATTACAAGCATAAGCTACTATACCTGGCCAATCTCTTGTATTTTCTTCTGATACTTTTATGATTTTATTGACTTCAATTTATAAAGTTAGATCTGAACATTCAGCATAATTTTGGATGTGGTATGATATGGTTTAGATCTGGATTGCATTTGTCATATGGTTTGGGAATTGTATCTACCTTTTATTTTCTTCCACTTGGGTAGCTGACTGTCTTGTAAGGCATCCTGTCTCTGCTGAAAATGCCACCTTCTTCTGTATTCGGTTCTCATCAACTTTGAAAAACATCAAGTTTATTGAGGTATAATTGATACACAATGAAATGCACCCATTTTAACTGTACAGTTTTATTGATTTTGATAAATATATACACTATCACTGCTACTACAGTCAAGCTTTAGAACAATTGAATTACCTCCAAAAAGTTCCTTCCTGTCTGTAGTCATTTCTCTCTCTTGGCCCCAGGCAACCACTGATCTGTTTATTAGTTTTGCCTACTCTAGAATTGCATATCCATGGAATCAAGTAACATATACTCTTCCATGTCTGGTTTCTTTCACTTGGCATGTTTTTGAGATTCATCCAATTTGTGTTTATCACAGATTTTTTGTTTGTTTGTTTTGTATTTTTAAATACGAGTGTACCACAGTTCATTCATTTTCTGGTGAACATTTAGATTGTTTTCAGTTTAGGCTGTTGTGAATAAAGGTATTGTTTTGTGTGCATGTCTTTGTGTGAACATACGTTTTCATTTTTCTAGGGTAAATACCTTAAATTGGAATTACTGGGTCACATGGGAAGTTTATGTTTAAATGTATAAGGAACTGCCAAACTATTTTCCAGGTGATTATACTACTTTACATTCCCATCAGCAGTGTATGAAAGTTACAGTTCTCCAAATGTCAGCATTCGATGTTCTCAGTCTTTAATTGCACACATTCTCAGAGGTGTGTAGTGGTATCCCATTGTAGTGTTGTTTTGTTTTTTTTTTTTAATGGTAGTAAAATACACATATCAAATTTACCATTTTAACTGTTTTTAAGTGTACAGTTCAGTGACATAAAGTACATTCACATTATTGTGCAACCACCACCACTGTCCATCTCTGAAACTTTTTCATCCTGCCAGTCTGAAACTCTATCCCTTAAACAGTAACTCTTCATTGCCCACTCTTGCCATCCACCCGTAATCACTGTTCTGCTTTTTATGTGCATTTGACTCCTCCAGGTACTTCATATAAGTAGAATCATATGATTTTTGTCCTTTTGTGTCTGGCACATTTCATTTAATAGTAGTAATGTCCTTGTGTTAGGCCATTCTTGTGTTGCCTTAAAGGAATATCTGAGACTGGGTAATTTAAAAAGAAAAGAAGTTTATTTGGCTCCTGGTGCTGCAGGCTGTACAAGCACGGCACCACCATCTGCTCAGCTTCTGGGGAGCCCTCATGGTGAGTTCACTCATGGTGGAAGGCAGAGGAGGAGAAGCCATGTCATATGGCGGGAGCAGGAGCAAGAGAGAGGGTGGGGAAGTGGCACACCCTTTTTAAACAACCACATCTCATGAGAACTCACTCTCTATCCCAAGAACAGCACCAAGCTATGAGGGGTTGCGTCTGTGACCCAGTTACCTCCCACCAGACTCCACCCCCAACATTGGGGATTGTATTTTTAGCATGAGATCTGTACAGGACAAATATTCAAATGATATCAGTCCTGAAAGTTCATTCATATTGTAGCATGTATCCAAATTTGATTCTTTAAGGTTGAGCAATATTTCATTGTATGCATATATCACTTTTTGTTTTTTTTTAATTTATTTATTTGTCAGTGGACATTTGGGCTGTTTTTACCTTTTAACTGTGTGAATGATGCTGCTATGAACATTGGTATATAAATACCTGTTTGAGTCCCTTCTTTTAATTCTTTTGGTTATGTACTTAGGAGTGGAATTGCTGGGCCATATGGTCATTGTATGTGTAGTTTTTTTAGAGACTGCCGTACTGTTTTCCACAGTGACTGCACCATTTTACATTCCCACCAGCAGTGAATAAAGGTTCCAGTTTGTCTACATCCTCTACATCTTTTCTAACACTTGGTAGTTTCTGCTTTTTTTTTTTTTGAGACGTAGCCCCTCTCTGTCTGCCAGGCTGGAGTGCAGCAGCGCGATCTGGGCTCACTGCAAGCTCCGCCTCCTGGCTTCACGCCATTCTCCTGCCTCAGCCTCCCGAGTAGCTGGGACTACAGGCGCCCACTGCCATGCCTGGCTAATTTTTTTGTATTTTTGTAATAGAGACGAGGTTTCACCATGTTAGCCAGGATGGTCTCGATCTTCTGACCTCATGATGCACCCGCCTCGGCCTCCCAAAGTGCTGGGATTACAGGCATGAGCCACCACCTGGCCGGTAGTTTCTGGTTTTTTTTATTTAAAATAATTGCCATTCTAATGGGTGTAAAAAGTCATGGTTTTAATTTACATTTTCTTTATGACTGCCATTGAGAAGTTTTCTTCTTTGTGTGTCTGTTCAAATATTTTCACATTCTTTTCAGAACGTGTGTTCTTTGTCAGATAGATACATGTATTCTTTATCTTTACTGATTTTCTGTCCACTTACTAATTATCAAGAGAGGAATGTTGAAATCTTCAACTGTAATTTTGAGTTTATCTTCCTTCTGTTCTGTTCATTTTTGCTTCACATGCTTTGAAGCGAAATCTTGGAAGCTGTGTCATTAGGTGTGTTCACATTTAGGACTGTTAGGTCTTGATTGATCGATGTCTTTATCATTATGAAATGTCTCTGTTTATCGCCAATGATGTTCCCTATCTAAAGTCTGCTTTGGTATTAGTGTATCCATTCCTTTCTTATGATTAATTTTTGCACATTATATCATTTTGCTGTGTTTATTTTCAACTTATTGGTCATTTAATGTCTTTTAGATAGCGTATAGTTGCATCTTGCTTACAGATTGATTTTTTACGATCTTTGCTTTTTAATTTAAATCCGTTTACATTTATTGCCGTTGGCCATGTTGTCGTGTTTAAGACACTGTTTGTTTTCTATTTATCTCATCTTTTCTTCCTTTTCTGCCTTCTTTTTGGTTAATGGAGCGTTTTTGGAATTTTGTTTTGTCTCCATTATTAGCTTGTCCCTCTGTTTTTTTCCCCTAGTGACACTTCTAGGATTAACAATATGCACCTTTAACTTACCTCAGTCTGCCTTCAGAAATATTATTCCTCTTAATGTATAATGTGAGAACTTTAGAATAGTATACATCCATTTACTCTCCCTTATTTGTTTTGGTATTGTGAGCTTAACATTTTACTTCTATATGTGTTATAGATTCCACAGTAGCATTTGAAACTATTTCTTTCAAAAGCCAGTTGTCTTACAAAGAAGCTTAAAAACTAAGAATAACATTCCTTTCTATTTACCCTCTTATTTACCATTTTTATTTCTTTTCCTTTGTGGAGATTTCTTTTTGTAGATCCAAGTTTTTTGGTGGTGTTTTACTTCTACTTGAAAAAATTTCTTAAACATTCCTAAAGTGTAGGTCTACTGGCTACAAAATCTTTCAGCTTTTATTTGTATGGAAATGTCTTTATTTCACTCTTCAACATTTTATTGTACAATTTTTCAAACCAGAGACTTTAAAATAATTGTAGAATATAATTTCACAACTAACATTTTGTTATATTTGTTTTTGTCTTCTATCTTGTCCCTCTGTCCATCCTCTCTTCAAGTGTCTTTTTTTATGCTTTTCAAAGTAAGTTGCAGATGTTAGTATACCATACCCTAAACTTCAGCATGTATATTAACTAAAACTTAGTAGTTTACTGTTTTTAACTAGAATTTACTATGCTGTTCCAGTTATTTATTGCTGTGTAATACATTGCCCCAAACTTAGTGCCTTAAATATCAGCAACTATTTATTTTGCTCATGAATCTCTCATTTGGTCAGGGATTGGCAAGGAGAGCTTGTCTTTGGCAATACATTGTAACAACTGTTTACATGGCATTAACATTGTATTTGGTATTATAAGTAATCTAGAGATGGTTTGACATATTTGAAGATGCATGTAGGTTATATGCAAATACTATGCCATTTTATATAAGGGATTCGAAGCATTCTTGGATTTTGGGATCCATGGGAGTCCTGGAACCAGTCCTCTGTAGATAGTTGAGGTACGACTGTAGTCTTTGGATTGAGAGAGTCACTAATTTCACTCAGATTCAAAGAGAAGGGCCATAGACTCCACCACCTGATGAAAAGATAACAGTGTTACATTGTTAAGAGCATGTAGAATGGCTTCTGTTGTGACCATCTTTGGAAAATACAGTTGACTACAAATACCATTTCATGAGCTGTGACAAATGCATACACCTTTGCCAGAAAGTTCTATCAGGGTACAGAACCTGCACCTCTTTCCAGTTATTCCTTCCCCCCACACCACCCCTAGAACCTAACATTGTTCAGATTGTTTCATCTTAGTTTAACTTGCTTAGAACTTTATGTAAGCAGAGTCATACAATACTTATGTGTTGTAAAAAGTTTCTTTTTGCTCAGCATAATGTTTTTGAGATTCATCCATACTGTTGAATGTTTCAGTGGTTTGTGACTTCATCTATTAAGGGACACCTGGGCTGTTTTCACTTCCTAGCTATTATAAATAAAGGTACAATGAACATTTGTGTGAAAACAGTCTCTGTGTGGACATATATGTTTCTTTTCTCTTGGTTAAATAGTTGATGTATTTTTCTTTCAGCGTTTGTTTTTGATGAGAAGTCTGGTTGTGCAGTCATGTGCCACATAATGACATTTCAGTCAACAAGAGATCATAGTTGACAATAGTCATATAAGATTATACCACCATATTTTCACTGTACCTTTTCTAGGTTTAGATATATACTTACACTGTGTTACAGTTGCTTACAGTATCAGTACAGTAACATGCTGTACAGGTTTATAACCTAGGAGCACCCAGGCTATACCATATATCCTAGTTCTGTAGTAAGCTATGCCATCTAATCTAGATTTGTGTAAGTACATTCTGTGATGTTTGCACAATGAGAATCACCTAATGATGCCACCTAATGATACATTTCTCAGAATGTATCCGTGCTGTTAAGTGATGCATAATGCTAATTATCTTTTCTTCCTTATACTAAGTCTTCTTTCCCTGGCTGCTGTTAAGATTTTTTCTTGTCACTTTTTGTTTTTGATGATTACCATGCTAAGAGTTGTTTTTGTTTTTGTTTTTTTTAATCTGTATATTTATGGTTTTCCTTAAATTTGGAAGATTGTTGCCATTGTTTCTTCTATATATATATGTATTTTTTACCACCTCTCCTCCTCTTTCATCATTTCCTCGTTTTCTGGGACTCCACTTACACATGTGTTAGACTGTTTGGTATTATCCACAGGTCATTAACATCATATTCATTATTTTTCAGTCTTTTTATTTCCCTGTGCGTCAGTTTGCTTTGTCTTCTATTTTACTGTTGTTTTCTCCTGCCTTGTTAAATAATTTCACATATTTTGCTTTATATTTCAAGAAATTCCATTTGATTCATTTTCATCTTCATGTATTTTTTTGAATTCTTGAGCATATTTGTAATAACTGAAAATCAGGTTACCTATTGATTTCATGATTTTTTTCACTCTGAATTTGTTGGGTTTTTTCTCTTGACTATGGGTTGTATTTTCCTAGTTTATTTTTATTTTTATTTTTACGTATTTAATGATTTTTTAAGATTGGATGCTGGACATGGTAATATTTTGTTGTTGGGTGACTAGATTTTGTTTTCTTTTAGAGTGTTTTGTTTTGTAGCCAGCTAAATAACTTCCTGGTCAGTTTTATTCCTTCAGGGCTACATTGGAATTTGTCTAGAGAAGGCTTTGCTTTAATGGTAGTAGCTGCTACCTAAGGCATGATCCTTCTGAGTCTTTACTAAATGCTCCCAGTGTCACCGTGTTCTCTTCGCTCAGGTTAGAGGGAATTTTAGGAGTCTCCCAGTCCTTTATAAGCACTGGGAATATTTCAGCTCACTGCCCCTCTTTCCCTAGCTTCCACTTACCTTAATCGTGTACAGTTAGTACTCAGCAGTAGACTCTCACATGACAGATTTCTGAAGCCATTTGTCTGCCTTCTCAGACAAGCACCCCTCTTGTCTGGCACTTGTCATACATTTTACCCACTTCAGCTTCCTGAGCTCTGATCTCTTGATTCTGACCTCACTGAAACTGCTGTCTTCTCATTGGGTTTCCCCTCCATTGACTGCAGGTTGGAAATTACCTCCAGGCAGACATCCAAGCAGTGGATGGCTCACCTCCTTTGTTTTTGTCCTTTCGTGTACTACAGTCCTGTACTGCCTATTATCCAAGGTCTGAAAATTCTTGTTTGAGAAGGAGCAACTGTCAGATACTTTTGGATCTTTCTCTGAAATTAGCTTTCTGTTGTGTTTACCTCTTTGTCTAATGCTAATACCATATCAGATTTTTTTTTTTTTTAGAATCTTTTAAATATACAGAAGAGTGCACTTCCAAATGTATAGCTTGCTGCACTTTCGCACACTGAGCACACGTGTTTCGCTAGCGTTCGGATCAAGAAGCAACATCGGCAGCTCATGTGTGCTCGCTCCTGTGTGCTTGCTTCTGTGTGCTCGCTTGTGCTCTGTCACCCTCCCTTTTCTTCCATGTGTAACCGCTGTCCTGACTTCTCATAGCATAGATTAGATTTGCCTGTTTTCGTCCTTTAACTAGAATCAAGCACACTTACTTGTGTCTGATTGCTTTTAATGTATTTGTGAGATTTATCCACACTGTTGGTTGTAGTAATTGTTTATGATAGTCGCTGTATAGTATTCCATTTTAAGAATATGCCACAGTTTAACCTGCTGTGGAAGGACATTTAATCATTTTTGGTTTGGGATTGTTAAGAATATTGCTGCTGCTCTAAACATTTCAGTGATTGTCTTCTCGTGAATATGTGTACTTAATTCTGTTTGATGTATACTTAAGAGGGAAATTTTTAAGTCAGAGGGTATGCATATATTTAGTGTATACTCCGTTTTTGAAGGTGTTGTGCTGATTTTAATTATACCATCTAAGTTAATATGTTTTAATATCTGGTAGAGAAAGGGACATTATTAGAAACAATTGTTTTGGTTATTCTTACATATTTAGTCCTTGAAATAAAATGTTTTTTAAATTGGCATTTACTTATATTTGTGTTGCTTTGGGAAGAAATGATATCTTTGTTCATCTATGAGTCACGTTTGGAACTAGCTCAAAGGCCATGGGTCCTGATTCCTTTTTTTTTTTTTTTCTTGTAGAGGGGAGGTATGGTGTCAAGAAAACATAGTCACCATTATTATGAAAATTAAAATATGGAAGAGATGATCCCTACATCAATCAGCTTACAACTAAAGGCACTGACAAATGTATACAGATAGCTGTAATGTAAGGTATAACATAATAAATATAAGGAGACATTTATTTTATGGTATTAAGAATGTATAATAAGACATGAAGGAGATGGTGATTATGTATAAGAGTTTAGACAGCCCTGTGAGATACAGTGTTTAGAATGAGGGCAGTTTTTAACACGGCACGATAGGTGGGTGGGGGATAGAGGTTAGTAATGGGTAGAGAACCATTTCTGAGTGAAGTCTCCTCAGAAGCAAACACATTGAAGTCAGAAACACAGATACCCAGTGTATTATAGCCAGTGGTCAAATGATGGGGCTAGATCTGGTACCTGGTGATGATGTCATGTAGTGGGCAGTAGTGCTGGGATGGCTGGGGTCAGGCAGGGCCCTCAAATAAAATGTGAAGGAGTTAGAAATTTATTTGGTTGGCATGAGAAAGTGTTGAAGCTTTTGAATATAGAACGATATGTCTAACTTTGAGTTTTTAGGAAAATAATTCTAGTGGGAAAATAGAGGATAAAGGCAGAAGGGAAACCAGTAGGACAGTATTGGTAAGTTTGGGGAAAAAAGGAGTAAGATATATTTTTAAGGAAATTTACAGGGTTTGAGTATAAATTAGAAGGCAGGTACAAGGGAATGAACGTGGTCTTTAGAATTAGACAAATTAGAGTTTAAATCTTAACCTGCATTGCATTTAAAGGACTGAAAGCAAGTCCCCTAAGAGAAAAAATTTATTTTGTAAGATGCTTATTCTGTGAACATTTACAAGCACTGGAAGTATAAAAGCAAATGATACACATATTCTCTTGAAGTCTGGTCTAGTCTGGAAGAAGAGGCTGCACTGGCAGGTTTTGACCAAATTGTGTAGAGTCTCATCTGACACGATTGGGAGCTTTGGCTTTATTCTGGAAGCAACTAAAAGCCATCAAAAAAGACCGGGGGAATAGTGTGGGAATGTAGAAATGTAGGGGAATTTCTAAGGGTGAATTAGTAGCAATTGGTAAACAATTTGATATACTGGAAAAGAGAGAGACTCTTTAGAATATGACTGAGAATCTTCCAATTTGAGCAGCTGGACTGATAGTGCTACCATCATGACCTCACAGGGTTTTTCTTAGTGTGTCTTATAAATGTTGCTTGTCCCTCATAAAGAATGGTTTTCCTTTTCTTCAGACTAAGGACTTTTTATTATAATACACAGCTTACCCCCTGTATTTCTCCATCACAACCCTTAACTGTGCATTGCAGTTGCATAATTCATTGTGGTTTTTATTTGTGCCCAATTCCTTCACCACATGAGGACAAGAAATTATGTCTCATTTTTCTACCACTGCATCTTCATCCACCTAGTAGGCACTAAAAAGCTAGTAGACAATTTTCGAATTAATGATTATGAAGAATTTGAAGGCTGAACGAGTATCAACCTACACAGTGGTCAGGGCAAATAAAAATGAGGGGGAGAAAGTAATGAATGGCACCAAATTTTTCAGTTCATAACTAGGACAGTGAGATTAGGCAGAGTGAGTTCTTTGGGAAAATAATTTGAGTTTGATTTTAGATATGTTGAATGTAGATGCTAATTAGACATCCATATGGATGTGTACCGTTGGTAATATGTAGTTACAGGCATACCATGCCAGAGATGAGGGCTTAAAGATACAGAGTTAGGGGTTCGTAAGCATAGAGGTGCCATGGGAATGGATGACATGGCGCAGAAAGTTGGTTTAGGTTAAGAAAAATGGCTATTGACCGAAACTTGGAGAGAGGCCATGTATGAGAGGTAGGAAGATGAACTAGCAGAAGACCTTGTTGCCTTTAGAGAGATGGAAGAAAATGAGTGGATACTACATTAGGGAGGCCAGAAGAGATGAGGAGTCATTAGCAGTCTTAAAAGCTACAAAAATTAAGTAGGATTAAGGGGCCAAAGCACTGGGAGAATATACAGAAATGATGGAAACTTTTGTAAGAAAAATTTCAGTAGGTAGGAAAACAGCAGCTGAGCTAGTGGTTTTCACGTCTTTTTGGCAGTGAAAGGAAAGAGGATAAAGAAATGGTACTCTGAGGAGCTAATGGAGTTGAGGGAATTATGTTGCAAGTATTATTTGAAAGCAGTATTTAAAACTTTTTAAGTCTTAACTGCAGAATGGACTGAAATGAGGAGAGCCTAAAGCAGGAAGACTTAGGAAAATTGTTGGAGTAGTCCTTTAGTTGTGAAATGTGTAAACGGATGAAACTTAGACAGTTTTAATAAGTAGCATTATCCATAAAGATAAGACACCATAAACATGGTGCAAAGGAGAACAAAAGTGTTGGGTGTTATGATAAAAAGTGATAGAAAAAAAAACAGTTTGTGAAATTAAGTTTTGAAACAGCTTTAGAAGCAGGTGAAGGAGAAATAGAAATGAATAAAATGAAAATTTTAGGGAGACAGATGTAGATCAACATAGGTATGTCTTATTAGACTATACTTATTTATAAAATTATTAGACTGAGCCCTCTGTTGAAGAGATAAAGTAAGAGAACTATGTCTGGTATTAGGATTCTTATGGTTAAATTGGCAAGTGAGTGTGCCTAATATTTGTAATGCTTACAGTTTTTGTTATTCTGTATTTTTATAGATTTGGTGTATTTCCTCTATGATTATGTGTTCCTAACTCGTAATTTGGAAGGGAGGGCTTCTTCAAATGAGATCTGTGTGTCATGTGAAGTATATGTTAAAATGCAAATTCATTTCTGTGTTCTTGGGTGGGTCTGAAAAAAAGTAAAAAAAAAATAATTCATGAACCCCTACTTCATGCACTGAATGAGAATCTTTGCGGGCAGAGCCCAAGTAGTTGCATTTTTAGATTTCCCCAGGTAGTTTTGTTATAGGCTGAAGTTTGAAATTCAGTCTCTAAAACCTTAAAAGTTGGTTAATTTTATTTCAAAATGTTGATATACAGTATATTCATTTTCTACAATCAACCTCTAGGACACTGGATAGGTTTCTTAATCTTTGAGATTTGGTTTCTTGATATGTAATGCAGTACATTAAAGGACTTTATTTCTGTTCCATTGAGGAACGTTCTGATTGTACACAAACAAGTTAAGAATTCACAGTGATACTCTAGGGGCTTGCTGTAAGCATCAGGATTTTTTTTTTTTTAAGAGTTAAGTTTTGATATATATTAAGTGGTTGATTTAATAAATTATAATTATCGTAGTATATTGAAGTCCTGTTTTGTGCCAGGTAGGCATTATACTATAATTTTTTAATACATCTTCTCTACTACTATAACCTGACATTGGAGACTCAAGGGTCAGAGGGTCGACCCAAGGCTGCTACTCTAGAAAGTGGTAGATAGATGCCCAGATTTGTACCTAACATAGCCGATGCTTAGCATATAGAATTAAAAACAAAATTGCTATAGGTATTTGAAGGGATTAGGGGGATAGAGTCAAATAGTTTTCGTATGTATTTAGCCCTTTTGGAGGGAGGATAGAGTAAAGAAATAGAAGGCAGTAAGCTTTGTGGATGAATATGGGAAATATGGCTTTGCCTGCTGAAAGCACTCAGGCCACAGGGCCTGCCTACCTATGCTTTCCTCTTCCTGGCAGCCTCTATAGAGTAATTTGTTTCTTGATACGTTTTTGGATGTTCATAATTATTATAGAAAATAAATTTGCTTTCATGATGAAATTTAGTACCTCTTTTTTTTTTTTTTTTTTTGAAAGTTTATCCAGTTGTTTATATAAAAAGAATTGAGTGAGGTGTTTTATATTTTAGGTTAAAAATCTGTAAGAGCCTGATTTTAGAATTCACCAGCTCCTCAGAAGTTTGGCGAAATATGGTATGTTTTTGTTTTATTTTTTGGAATTCGTATTGCATGTGAAAATATCTTAATGTCATAATAATGACAGATATGTTCAGCAAATTTGGGCCCCTGCCATTTTTAAAGCATTGTGTCAGGTGCTCACTAACTACACTTCCAAGACTGTATAAGGGACCCAGGTAGGGTGCTGAAAACATTTACAATTGCTATGAAGGTAAAATAATACGCATAAAAAGATTGAGAGGGCAGGTTTGGATTTTAGGCTATAAGTATTAATAGCTTGTCCGTTTGTTGTTGTTGCTGCTGCTGCTGTTGTTTTTGAGACAGAGTCTTGCTCTGTTGCCCAGGCTGGAGTGCAGTGGCACCTTCTCGGCTCACTGCAACCTCCATCTCCCGGGCTCAAGTGATTCTCATGCCTCGGCCTGCCGGGTAGTTGGGATTACAGGTGCGTGCCACCACACCTGACTAATTTTTGTATTTTTAATAGGAATGGGGTTTCACCGTGTTGGCCAGGCTGGTCTCGAACTCCTGGCCTCAAGTGATTCACCTGCCTCGGCCTCCCAAAGTGCTGGGATTACAGGTGTTACCCACCATACCCGACCATTTGTGAGCACATTATATGTCAGGCACTGTTCTGAGATATTTAGGTGTTAGCTTGTGCATCCATGACAGCTCTCTGGAATAGGTACTATTATCCTAATTCTACGTCTAAGGAAACTGAGACTCGGAGAGATTAAGTAACTTGCCCAAGATTTCTCAGCTAGTGAGTGACCAAACAGACGTAAATCCAGCCTGGCCTTGGAGCCTTTTGAGCACCGTATCTCATAAAAGAGGGGACTGGAAGAGAGGACTTGACTCAGTAGTTTTCAAAATACATAAAGCTCTTTCATTACATTGAGATCAATTAGTCAATTAAAAGGTATTTTAACTTTATTATTTTTGTGTTTACAAGATAGAAAGTTAGACTTGTTTGAATCTTCTAATTCCACATACCATTAGTCTCTTGAGAACACAAGGGAAAGCTGTATCATGACCACATTGTTTATTTTAGGGAAGGTGGTGTTTCCCATATGACCTCAGCAATGTCTAGGTTCTTATTAGGAAATGTATGGTTAGGATAGGAATACCTGGGAGTTTGCGTTATTTCTTACAGATACTGTAAATCCCGTTTATTGGAATCCCCTACAATTATTTTTGTATATTCAGGCCAGTCCTCACCTAATCTGGATTTTGAAGCCCTGCGTTCATAACTGCATAGGTATGGGCTCAGACATCCATGTTTTAACCCTTGGTATTTGCAGATACCTTGCTGTTTTATATTGGGTTCTGAATCCACACTGGTAACCACCTTCTGCGCTTGACTGTTGTTGCTTTGAGGATGTTAACTATGAAATGTTTCTTCCTCCTAATTTCCTCACCTTTCTGTAGTTGACACCTCAGATTTGGCCTGGATAGGGGAATTGTGAGGGGAAAGAACTAGTTGTACAAAATGATCATTTGATACTGGAATATTTCAGATGTGTGGTATCTTTGCCAGAACTACAGTGTGAGTAAAGAGGCCTGCTAAATTTGAACTGTGACAATCAGAAAAGTTCAGCTAAGGCCATGTAAGGGGTTAAAAAGATACTTGGTTGAGGGAGGAGGATATGCTTTCATCTTTTGCCATACTTTTTCATGAAATTAAATCTTAGTAGATTTATGGCCAAGAAAGAGTAGAACATATTTTCATGCAGTACTTAAGGGGTTTTGACTGATGTTAAATGACTCTACGTAAATATAGAGTTAGTAGGACTAGACTTTGTGTTTATGTGTGTGTGTGTTTATGTGTATGTATATAACTATTCCATTAAGCATTTGACTACTTGGTGACTGATTTCTCTATCAGCTTAAGAATCTTTTGAGTAAATTAGTCCCCACTTAAACTTGCCATATTTGAAAGATCTCAGTCTACGTTGTGAATCTTTACTCATTACGTATACTTAAATCTTGAAACCCAGTAGAGCAAAACTAAGCCAAAACAAACAAACGAAAAAATCCATCCCTTGATAGGAAGTCAGTATATCTGGGTTTTAATCATTCCTTCAACACTAGTTCCAAAATCTTGGGCAAGTCAGTTAATCACTCGGAGGCTGCTTAATTTTTTTTTGTTTCAAAAAATTCTTACTATATTATCTGTCTCGATCAGGTAAAGCAAAAGTTATAAGACTCAAGGTATTATTGACCAAAATGCTTCATAAAGTGTAAAATTACATAAAAGTACAAGGAATTATTACATTTTTGCAAATGAAGAGATCACTTAAGAAAAACAAAATGCTGGAAAATAGTCCTTAAAAACTTTTCTATAATAATTACTCTTCTGATGAATTTTACATTGACACCTAATTTGAAGCTTTGAAAATTATTTTTTGAACAATGAATTGGGTTTATATATTAAAGTGTTCTAACCAAAGGTTTGTTTAATTTATTAGAGTTATTAAGCCTACGCTCAGATCAAGGTAGCAGCTAGACTGGTGTGACAACCTGTTTTTAATCAGTGACTCAAAGCTGTGATCACCCTGATGTCACCGAATGGCCACAGCTTGTAAAAGGTAATTTTGAATTATTTTACAGCCTTTAAAAGGCTGTCATTGTAAAGTGAAATACATACTGTAGAAATGAAGACAATGTATAGTTGGCAGGAATATTGCTAAGAATAGTGGGCCTGAGAGTTGACCTGCTTCATTTAATCTCCTTAAAATATTTTAGTGTCTTTTTTCTATTAAAAATATCAGTAGCCACTATCAAAGACCTGTCTGTATGAACAGGAAAGTATTTCTCAAAAACCTTCAAAGTTTTAAACATTTTACTATAAACCTTATAGAAAACATGAAAAATTTCTTAATATGTATTTTAAAGTATGCCTTTTATGTGGTGAACGTTTTAACTAAACATTTCTCTAGAAGTTTTTATGACATTAATAAAACTAGTATACTTTTCTCTCCTAGAGAGTTACAGTGGAGGTAAAAGGAGTGGCTTGCAGGATGGAGAAGCTGCACCAGTGTTATTGGAAGTGAGCCACCATTTGAATTTGCTAGCTCATGCTGCAGTATTCAGATTAGTGGGCGTTTTGTGATCATATTATCTGCGATTCAAATCAAGACCTAAAATTGAGACTCTTCTAAGATTTACTTTTTATTATCTAATGTTACTTGGTTATTATTTCAGTTTTAAAATTTCTTTTCTGACTTGTTATTCTGACACACTTGAGGATAACCTAAGTCAATAGTTTAATACAAAAATTTCCCTTTGGTTATATGTTTTGAATTAGATTATATGTTCTGCATTTACAAGCACATACAGGATTCTTACTTCCAGCAACTTGGCAGTAAAAGAATAAGTAAACTCTTTAGGAGCCACAGTCAAGCTTGGGAACTATTACTAGGTGGTATATATTTCATAGTTTATGTTTGTTTGTTTCCAAGACAAGGTCTCACTCCGTTGCCCATGCTGGAGTGCAGTGGCACGATCACAGCTCACTGCAACTTTGACCTCCTGGCCTCAAGTGACCCTCCCACCTCAGCCTCCCAAGTAGCTGGGACTAAAGGCGCCCACCACCACACCCAGCTAAGAGACGAGGTTTCATCGTGTTGCCCAGGCTGATCTTGAACTCCTGAGCTCAAGTGATCCTTATGCCTTGACCTCCCAAAGTGCTGAGATTACAGACATGAACCACCACACCTGGCATATTTCATAGTTTTGAGAGTTTGAATTCTAAACTTGGGATTTTTTTGGCAACTTATTTAGACTATTCTAGAAATATACTGTTATTAGGATGAGTAGAAATTTATTCAGACATAAATTATTAATATTCACTGCAAGAAAAATGTCTGCTAGTTCTGTATATATTCATTTTTCTCTTGATTAAAAAACAATTTGCAATTTGAATAGAACAACTTTGCTATGTTTAATAGACCCAGAACAGATTTATTTTAAGGTAATAATCTTTCAGTCTTTGTTCTTCTATACTGAATTGGTTTACTTAGTTTGTCTTATCAATGGTTTTTAATAGCCTACTTTAATATATGTAAAAAGTAGTAATTAATATGTTACAGTTTGGTGACATTTTGATGCCAAAGTTCATTCTCTTGCTTAGGAAACAGAAATTGGGAAGACAGATATAGTTATCATTTGATAATATATTTAAATTCTATCCCATTTCAGGATCTCAAAACTTTGTAACAGTTACATATTGTACTTCTAAGACTTAGATTTGTTTTCCTTCTTGTGTCTTACCTTTTTGCAGTAATATTTTTATTTTCCTATCATCATGTCCTCATTTTTTCCCCTCTCTTCTCTTTCCCTGTTAATTTTGAAAGTTTTGCTGCCTACGTGTTTGAAAGCTTCTAATCTGCCTCTCTTCCCTCAGTGCCAGCAGGTTTATTTTTTGTTTTGCAAGCCAGCTCTGCCTCCTTACAGTATGACATCTGATGCTGGAGGGTCGCACTTTCAAAAATGAGTCAGCTGGTACATGGGGTTATCATCAATTTTTAGCTCTTCTGTCTGGGAGATACAAGTTTGGAAGCAATCTTGGGGTACTTACCCACAAGGCTGGTGGAGACCAGGTGTGTCACATAGGTGATTTGCTTGCTCCCTGGGGGAGAGGGTGGAGTGAAATTTTTGCATTTGTGTCACTGCCAAGTCACTGCCACCTCCAGCATGCCCCAGTTTTTAGTTCTTACGTAATTTTGTGCAAAATTGAAAATTTAAATACATTGCAAAGAAGATCTAAAATAAATATTTGAGCTGCTGGAGTCTTTTTTTTTTTTTTTTCTTTTCCATTCTTGTCCTTGGAATCTGAATGAATTGCAGTGAGGGTAATTTTGAGAGTCTGATAAAGAAGTGAAGTTTTTGTTTTGTTTTGTTTTGTTTTTAAGCTAAGAAATTTATCAAACAGGTGTGTGTGTGTGTGAGTGTGTGTGTGTGTGTGACTCTGATTTTAAGATTCTTGTTAGAGTTGCTTAAAGTTGGAAGCCTAAAGTCAGTGAGAAGTTCACAAATCAGGACTTTGTAATGCCAATTAGAAAATTTAGCTTTTGACCTCAAAAAACATATTTTATCTAGTTTGGGAATTTCTAAGTGTTAGAAATCCGTATTATATTGACTCGCCTTACATCATTCATTGTTGCTGATGCTGTTTATAAAAGTGAATAGGGTAACAGGAACTTATTTTTAATGACAGGGTAGAGATAGGGAAATACTGATTCATGTCTCGTGAAATGAAAATGAAAGGCTTTTTAGTGACTTAGAATTTTAAATATTTCTACATAAGAGAGCAGTGGTATATTTAGAAATAACAAAGTAACTGGCAACTATTTAAAACGGAAGTTAATTCGCAGCTATCCAGTGCAAAACTTTACCTCAGGTAATATACTTTTGACAGGTAATACATACAGTAAGTGTATTTTTAGGGAAACAATTTCATTTTTGAACCAAGATAATCATCATTTGGATGTTGTATCTAATTTAAGTGTCTTTAAACTTACCAAGGTCCTGGATTTTAGTTTGAATTGTTTAGAGTAGCGGTAGTGGTTGGCACATTTGTTCTTAAGGGCCAGAAATTAAATATTTTAGGTTTTGTGGGCCATGTGGTTTCTGCCACGAGTCCTCAGCTCTGTCCTTTCAGCGTGAAAGCAGCCATAGATGATACCTAAATGAATGAGTATGGCTACATGCCAATAAAACTTCGTTTACAAAACTACATGGCTGGCCTAGGCTTTAGTCGGTCTGCCTAGGGAGTAGTTTACTGAACCACGAATCTAAAGGTTAATACTGCAAGTGAATACCAGTGAGTACCTTTGTTAATGTGGATAACCAATACTTGGCTATAGGAAGTTTTATAGTTGTGTGTTTTATTACACGTATTTGACTTTGTGAATAATTATGGCTTATAATGGCTTGTCTGTTGATATCTATGTATAGTGTTTACAGTTTCCTTTAAAAAACATGCATTGAGTTTTTTGATAGTCCAACCATTAAAATAAATGTGTTGTATGGCCACTTGATCTGACCACTTTCTTTCATGTTTACGTCTGTATTTTTAAAACTGTTTTATTTAGTGCTGCAATCTTGTTTACGAATTTGTCTTTCTAAGTAATATGTCTACCTTTTTTTGGAGTATGGAATATTTTGCTAACTGTTTCTCAATTGCATTTTACAGATCAGGAGAACCTCAGTCTGACGACATTGAAGCTAGCCGAATGTAAGTGTAACTTGGTTGAGACTGTGATATCTTATTTTGAGTTGCCCTAGACTGCTTTAAATTATGTCACATTATTTGGAAATAATTTCTGGTTAAACTAAAGGAATCCTTTAGCAGTGAATTGGGACATAGGAACATACCTACTTTTCTTCCTATCAGATAACTCTAAACCTTGGTAACAGTTTACTGGATTTCTACTACTAGATAGATAATTGCACACGCCTGAATTCTTAGTCTTTTTGCTTCCCTGGTAGCAGTTGTAAGGAAATAGGGAAATTGAGGAAAGAGTTAAGTTTAACAATCTCAACGCCTACCATGTTTAAGGCGTCAGTACTACGTTATAGATACAGAGATGCACAATAATTAGTTTTCACCCTACAGAAATTTATATTATACTCAGAGTGAAAGATGCAGAAGCAAATAATTTCAGTCATTGAGCTGGAATGGTATCCAGAATACAATAGTAACATAAAGGAGTACTGGAGTGAGTACCCAGGCTTGCAGTAGGAATCCAGTATAGATGGCAGGGAAGTAAGAGTGGCCAGGAAATGCTTAGTTCAGTCTTGAAATGTGACTGGGAATCAGGCAGGTAGAGGCATGACCAGCTTATTCTAGGCAGAAGTATGAGCCAAAGTTCAGAAGCAGCATAGGCAGTAGGGGCAATAGGCAGTTGAGGACTTGTAGATCATAAGCTAGCTGAGAGGTAGGAAAATGAAGAAGATAAGATGTGATAGAAAGGTATTTGGGAGTCAGCAAAGAAATTGCTCAGTAGTTAGATAGTAGTAAGTTTGTCGAACGTGTGTTTTTAATAACCTTGCAGCAGAGAAAGGATTGAAGAGAAACGTGTGGTGGTAAGGTAGTTCAGTCAGTGAGAACCTTAACAATGACAGTGGTATAATAGGAATTCAAGATAAATTTTTCTGGGTTTAAAAAATATTTAGAACATGAAGTAAGTAAGACTTTAGTGAATTTATTGTAAAGACTAAAGATGTTTCAGATAATAGAGGTAGTAATTATCAAAGCAAAGTTTTTCAAGGTAGTAAGGATTGGAATGAAAAATACAGATGTATCTCTCATACAGGTAATATAAAAGAAAGAAAAATGCAGATATAGTGATTGACCTTGAATAAGAGGAAAGATGCCCATCTAATGAAATTAGAAGAAGGAAGTTAAGATGGATGTGTGATATTAATTGTAATTGTGAATGAGGTTGGAAAAATCAAGATATTCTTACTGAAAATATTGTAACCCTATTTAAATGCTGGTGTATGTTGTGAATCTGCAAGAAATGACTATAAAATGTATTTCTCAAATTTATGTGACTCAGCCATGTGACTTGTCATTTAAGTTTTAAAAAATTGTTGTAAAATACACATAATGTAAAATTTTCCATTTCACCATTTTTAAGTATTTGGCTCAGTGGTATTAAGTATATTAATATTGTTGCACAGTCACCATCAGAACTCTCTGTTTTGCAGAACTGAAACTCTGTACCCTTTAAACAATAATTCCTCATTTCCTTATCTTCACAGCCTCTGACAACCATTATTCTACTTTGTGTCTAATTTTGACTGCTCTAAGTACCATCATACAGTTTTTGTGCAAATCATACAGTTTTTGCCCTTTTATGATTGACTTATTTTACTTCGCAGTGTCCTTACGTTTCATCTGTGTTTAGCATATTTCAAAATTTGCTTCCTTTTTCAGGCTGAATAATGTTTTATTGTATGTATATACCACATTTTGCTTATCCATTTACCTGTTGATGAGCACTCAGGTTGCTTCCATGTTTTAGCTATTACAGATAATGTTGCTATGAACAGGAGTGTACAAATATCTTTTTGAGACCCTGCTTTGAATTGTTTTGCATACATACCTAGAAGTGGAATTGTTGGATCATATGGTAATTTTATTTTTAAAATTTTAAGAAACTGCCATACTCTTTTCCAGAGCAATTGTGGCTTTGCATCTCTACCACTAGTGCACAAGGGGTCCAGTTTCTTGACATCCTTCCCATCACATATTTGTGTGTGTGTGTGTGTGTGTGTGTACTTTAATAGTAGTCATTCTAGTGGGTGTAAGGTAGTATCTTACTGTAGGTTAGTGACCACAAAACTTTATGAAATATTTTTAAATAATATTTTGTGGAATAAAGGGTTTGTTTAGAGGTTTTGAGAAGACTGAACACTTAGGAAGCTACTGAGGGGAATGGGTGAAGAAGTGGATCAAAAGTTACTGAGAATCTTGGCTAGCTACTTGAAACCAGAAACCATATCAGATTAGGAGAATCTCATTCCACTGAGTGGCTAGTTAAGATTAAAGACCTTATCACACTTGAAATTTCAAGACTTTTCTCCAATAGCCAGAAGATTATGCATGGTATTTTAGGGTTGGATATTAGCAGAGCTGTTGAAACAGAATCACTAGTGGCATGTGCATAAGATGTTAACATTGGAGTATTTGAATTCATATGCTGTTGATGATGGCCATGATTGGAAAGGTTAGGATGCAAGACCAAAGTGTTGAGTTGTTTTAAGAAAAGCCTGAGGTCTCGATAACAGCAAGATGGCAGACTGGCATTTTGCAGCACTCATCTCATTGTGGAACCATCAATTTGAACAACTATCCACACCCAAAAATATAAGAGCTAAGAAACCAGATAAGAGATTACCTGAATGTGCCACACAAATAAGAAAAGATACATTGAAAAGGGTAAGAAGGACAGTTTTACATTACTTGCATCACACCTCCCTCAATCCCTGACAGCCCATCATGGAGAGAGATACTGTCGACCTGGAGGAAGGAGGGGAAGTGTACACCAGACTTAGACCCTAACGTTGAGCTTGCCCTAGTAAAACTCAGTGCTAGGCAGGCCCCCGTGGTCCCAGACTTCAGGCCAATACCCACAAACCAAGCCTACAGGCCCACCCCGTCACCAAGCTGGATCCCATAGCCCTAGACTCCAAGCCTGTCTAGTGCTAGGCTGGTCCCTGTAGCCCTGCCCTCTAAATCAGCCCCTGTGGCCTCACATCCCTGCAGAACAAGGGTTCAGACCCAGTACTTGGCCAGCCCCTTGTGATCCAAATTCTAGGCCAACACCCACCTACCCAGCCTTCACACTGGTCCTTGCAGACCCAAGGTTCAGGCTCACTGTAGTAGACCAGGATGCCAGGCCAGCCCCTGTGGACTCAGGCTGCATGATCTCTGGACAGGCTGACTGGTGAAGGACTTTCCCCGATAAAGTCAGTCTGCGAAGACTGGAACAAGTCTCAGCTTCTTCAAATGTGCAGGTGCCAACACATGACTATAAGGATCAAGAACAGTCAGGGAAATGTGACACCAGTCAAAGGAACACAATAAGGCGCCTGAACCACCCGTAAATAAATGGAGATATATGAACTGCCTGACAAAGAATTCAAGGTAATTGTTTAAGGAAGATCAATGAATTTCAAGAAAATGCAGATAAACAATTAAACAAAATCAGGAAAACAATCAAAATGAGAAATTTCAATTGAAATTATTTTGTAAAAAACAAATTCTGAAGCTGAAAATGCAATAAATTGAATGAAAAATGCAAAAGAGCATTAAAAGCAGAATTGAGCAAACAGACAAAAGAATCTGAACTTAAAAGACAGGTTATTTGGCTAGACTAAGGAAAAAGATAACTTGATAAAAAAATTAAGAGTTGTGTTTTTTGATGATAAAAGCAACAAGTCTTTAGCTAGACTAAGAAAAAAAGAGATGACTCAAGTTAAATCAGAAATGAAAGAGGACCCATTGCAGCTGATACCAGAGAAGTACAAGAAATAAAAGGATCATAAGAGACTGGACAATTATATGCCAACAAATTGATTACCATAGAAGAAACGGATAAATTCCTAGACACATGCAACTTGCCCAGGCTTAATCATGAAATTAAAAATTTGAACAGTGACAAGGATTGTATCAGTTATAATCCTTCCTATATAAACTTCCCACCAAAGGAAGCCCAAGACTTGGTGACTTTACTGCTGAATTCTAGCAGACATTTAAAGAAGAACTAGTACAAATTGTTCTCAAAATTTTATGAGAAATTTAAGAAGGGGGAATACTTTCAAACTCATTTTGGGAGATGAACATTACCTGGATACCAAAGCCAAACAAGAACTCTCCAGGATAAGAAAATTATAGACCTGTATTCTTAATTTAGATGCAGAAATTCTGAAGAAAATAATAACTAAATTCAACAGTGTATTAAAAGGATGATTTACTGTGATCACATGGGATTTACCGCAAGGGTACAAGGATTATCCAACAGACCCGAATCCGTAAAATGTGATACACCACATTAGGAGAACAAAGGCCAAAACCGTATGATCATCTCAGTAGATAATTGAGATAATTGAGAAAAACCATTTGACAGAATTCAGCTTTCTCTTGTGCTAAAAACTCTCACAAATTAAATATAGAAGGAATATACCTCTATAAAATAAAGGCCATATTGACAAATCTACTGCTAGCATTTTACTGAATGTTGAAAAGTTGAAAGCTTTTCTTTTGAGATTAGGAAGAAAACGAGAATGCCCACTCTTGCCGTTTCTATTCAACACAGTACTGGAAGTCCTTGCGAGAGCAATTAGGCAAGAGAAAGAAAAGGCATCCCAGTAGGAAAGGAAGACGTTGTTGCATCTGTTTGAAGATGACATGATCTTGTATATAGAAAACCGTAAAGACTCCACCAGAGAACTGTCAGAACTGATAAACAAATTCAGTAAAGTTGTGAGATACAAAATCAAGTTACAAAAATCAGTAGAATTTCTGTACATTAATCACAAATTATCCAAAAGAGAAATCAAGAAGACAATTCCATTTATGATAGGTACCAAAAACAAAACACCCAGTATCGGTGGTTCTGCATTTGCAAATTGAATCCACATTTGGATGAAAATGTTTGAGGAAAAAATACAACAATAAAAACTGTTTTCTTATACAATAAGAAAACTACAGTATAGCAACTATTG